TTGGAAGTCATCTATCGTGAAGACCGCCTGGACACTCTTCACTACACGTACGAGCCCGGCTTCCAACACTTACGCTTCGCTCGCGACGGACCCGTACCGGCCGTTATCTGGGACCCATCGCAGTTATCGGTCGTCATCGGCTCGCATTGCTTACCCTTGCCGCCGCCCTCGCCTCTCCGCACCCCGAAGGCCATCACCTGCAACTTTGAACCTGCCGCTTCGCCCACACCCGCTACACATCCCGAAGACTTCCCACCTGAGTTTTAATCATGCCGTTTGTCGACGCCGCCAACTATCCAGCAGATCTTCTGCAGGGTGGTTTTCATATTGACGCAGACGATGCAGACGACTATCGCCTCCCGCGCACCCTGGCCAACGACCTGCTAATCTGGAAGGAGACCAACGCGGATACCGGAGTGGTCACCTGGTGGGCGCGTACGAACGTCAGGTTGGCCCCCGTGCCCTTGTCTGCGGACGCCCGCGCCAATGCGGTCATCGTTGCCAAGGACCGGCAGATCCGCGACTTGCAGCAGACGGTCGTCAACCAACAGGCCCAGCTCAACACCCCGCCCCAGCCAATCGTCGTCCAACAAGTGCCAGGTCCGCAGCGCTCGCATATCCACGTCCACGCCCCACGCACGTTCTCCGGTGTCTCCAACGACAAGGGCATCTATGACCCCACACCACGCGACTTTGTCCGGAATGTGCGGAACTACCTCGTTGCTGAGGAAGAGGCCGCCGGTAACCCGCTCACCGACCACAACAAGATCGTGCTAGTCTCCACGCTCCTTGACCAGTCCGCAGCCATGTGGTATGAGCAGATCATGGCCGACTACGCGGAGTATCGGCAAAGGGCGGGTCAAGCCCAGCAGCAGGGACATCCGGTACCGCCTTATACCGGCCCACTTCTCGACCTCAACACGTTCTCGCAGGCCTTCCTCCAGCAGTTTGAGGACGTCAACATCCAGAAGACGGCCATCGCCAAGATCCAGTCCATGCAACAAGGCGCGCAGTCTGCGCAGT